TAGCTTGGAGTCCTCAGGTACTGCAGTTCTATTTTTATATGTGTCAAAATTTCCACCAATCATGTGCCAAATCACATACAATTTCTGGTAAAAGACCTTGCATAGTGTCATACAGGGCAAAAATGTACGTGCAAGAAACGATACAAGAAAACATAAATAACTTTCTATATCAGAAACGATAAATAAACGATAAATAAAGAAATAAGAAAAGGAGATTTTGACAAACGACAATGACAAATGCAAAATATCAAATTTTAGGTGTTCGCAGAGCACAAAATCACAAACTAATTCCAAACAGTTTCCAACTGAACATGCGCACTGTATTTCAAATCACAAACCGTTTGTAATCGCTACTACGAACAAACCTATTAAAAATTTGTTAAAAAATGTAGAGTTTTAGGGCTCTAATAACTTGAAAACAGTTTTTTAGGGCACTTATACTAGATACGATTCGTTCGGCTTGCCTGGAGTATTTTAATTCTGAACCTTCGACATTTAATTGAGGGTTTTTTGGCCTGCTAAAACGGGTTTGTCAAGTTTCGATTCAGTCGCCCACTATGGGTCAGATGCTGATTGCAGCCGATCACTTTGGATCAGACACTGCAATGTTTACTGGTTTTTGTTTCGCCCCGAGTATTTCATTTCCACAGTACCACCTATATCTAGGAGGCATTCCTCTATCCGCCACCTGGGGAGGCGCCCGATGGAGGTCCAACAACCTCTCACGGGATGAGAGCTCTCTCAGAGCTCACTTTTAAGTCTTTGATGTTTAATAAATTGTGTGCCATAAAACTCAAATAAATTTTGAAAAGCGTCGAAGGGAAAGTCAAACTGTATGACTCAAATTTTGTTGTATCTGCTAAGCTTACGAATTTAATTTATCACAATCTTGAAAACGTATATCCATTTCCATTAAAATATGATCATACATTTCAAAAAATAATGCTCTGTATTGAGTAGTAATTGCATTCTTGCTCATACCATCATCACACCTAAAACCGTTTGGAAGTATTAATGACCGTCATTGTGCTTGCTTTTTCAAAAATATAATTAAAAAAGTCTTTATTTCTTTTATCACTCATTAATCGACGAGTTCTCCTTATCTGGTTTAAACAAAAATTAATATCTAGAGACTTGTTTTGAGGATCATATAAAATATCTGTTATCAATAATTACACTGATTAATTTTGAATTAGAGGACCATCTTGTCTCTGTAATTGTTGGAATATGTCTAGCCGATGTAGATGCAAGAGTGTACGATCGTTTTGCTGAACTATGAAAAAACGATGGGATTCCGGTAATAGTTGCAAAGAAAATTCGACATTTTCATATTTTCTTAAAGCTCTGTTGCAAAACAAGATTAGGTCGATGGGCTTATAATGCATTAAGCAAATAAACTTAATACTGTGACTAAACTAAACTAATAAATACACTACAAAAACTATACTATATAAAAAATATCTATATAATAGACTAAATTTCAAAATATCGTCGCTGAGAGAAATTTCAGAAAAATAGGAATACTACATACACATTAAACTAGTGGATGAAGATGGATAGTTTATTTTTCAATTGTTCTGCACTTCCCAGTTTTCTCAGCTTTCACTAACAACAGAAAGAAAAAAACACGGTATAGCTAACCCAAACACAAACGAACACTTGAAGAGAGGGAAAAAGCCTATTGAAATTGATGAATTTGCAAAAATGGTATTGGAAGGAAAATTCATGATTTTTTTTTTTCAAAAAAGAAATACCAAACCTAAACAAAATTTTACAAGAAGTTAGAGACGACCCGGATTTGCCTCATATCGGACGAACTAAATTGTAGCAAGTTTTAAAAGAATTAAATTTCCGGTGAGAGGAATCAGACCGAAAATCACTTTTGATTGACCGGGAGGAGATATGTTGGAGAGAAATTATCTAAGATCCATAAGAAAAATTCCGGGCTGAAGGAAGGCCAATCTTCTACCAGGATGAAACGTAGGTAAACGCAGGTCATACTCTAAAAAAAATTTGGTCAGATAAAAATATATTAAGCTCCAGGCAAGCCTTTATGGAAGGTTGGTCTACTGTTATCTCCCCACCTTCTGGTAAAGGCAGTAGATTCATAATTTCTCACATTGGCAGTGAAAAAGGATTTGTTAAGCATGGTTTGTTGGAATTACAGTCCAAAAGCACAAAAGACTATCACGAGGAGATGACAGCTGATGTTTCCGAAGTTGAGCAGATGATTGAACACATACCACAAAATTCAATTATAGTATTAGATAATGAATGCACCTTATCATTCACGACTAGTAGAAAGACTTCCAACGACTGCGTGAAAGAAACAGGATATTCTTGACTGGCTGCGGAATTAGTATCTGCCTTACGAAGATGGAATGGTAAAAGCAGAACTTTTAAAAATTGCCCGGCCACGCAAATCTAAGTTCAAGAAATCCGTAGTTGACAAAATGGCGGAAAGGCGAAACATCAAAGTCCTTAGACTTCCACCCTACCACTGCGAAATAAATCCAATTGAACTCATTTGGGCACAAATGAAAAGTTATGTGGCTAGAAAAAATACTTCATATAAAATACAAGCTGTACGTGAATTGTTATATGAGTCTTTACAACATATTACAGAACAAAACTGGAAAGATGCAGTAAGACATGTAATAGAAGAAGAACAAAAAATATGCGATCTTGATAACATAATTGATGCGACCGTAGAGACACAACCGCTAATTATTAACCCTCAAGACGACTCGAATTCCGAAGTTGATCCTATTTATTTTGAATTTGAATAGTTTTCTAATCGTAATTATATAAGGTAAGTAATAGTAGTTTCATTTTTTTTTTCAAATCCTGAGAAAACTAAAAAGCATTTTTGAAAAATTTAAAGACAGAATGAAATATAACAATAAAATAAACATTGTAGAAGTTTTCAGGGACTTTCTGCCCTCAGTAATAATGTAATCTTTCATTCTGCGTTTAAAATTTTCAAAAATATTTATTAGTTTTCTCCAGATTCGAAAATACTGGACACATTAAAAAAAAACACATTGAAAATTGTGCCAGGCGACATTTGGTGCCTTTCCCCTTAATTAAATAAATGCATCTTTTACAAATGGCAAGAAACTTTTTATTTTTAATAAAATAAAGAAGTTTTGTTAAAACAAAAATACAATTTACATAAGTACAATTTAAAAAATATATTTATTTAGTTCACATAAATGTTTCAATCATATATTCTACGACACTGGTCGGTCATCTGTAACCAAAATACCTTCGTAATCGGATTATAAGGTTGACTGCTGTATTGTATTCCTTCAGATACAAGGTGGGTTAGTCGAAAACATCTTAAACCGTCAGTTTCAGGTTGGTTTTTACTATTATATCGTATTAACTATCCTCTCTGTATTTTAGTTCTCTAATTAGAGTTAAACTTGTAGTGAGCTATCGACAAATTGTGAATCGATTATAGATCATCATTTATACCAATACCCAAGAAAAATAAAGCAAATAGATGCTCATATTTCATGTTAATTGGCCTGATGAGCCATTTTCTGAAAATTTTACTCAAAATTGTACATCAACGAATATACAGAGAATGCGAAAGAAACCTGAACGACAATCAATTTGGATTTCGTATGGGGCTTGGTACAAGAGAGGCATTATTTGACCTCCAGATATTACTACATAAATGCTGAGATCAGCGAAAGGCAAGTTTCTCTGTTTTCTCGACTATGAAAAAGCATTTGATCAAGTTAAACACACAGATCTCATAGAAACCCCAACACAACATGACATAGATAACACTGTAACACTTATTAAAAAACTATATTGGGATCAAATGATGCCGATCAAAATACACAATCATCTGACAGCAGAATTGCCAATAAAAAGAGGAGTTCCTCAGGGCTGTGTACTTTCTCCACTGTTATTTAATATATATTCCGAAATAATCTTTCAAAATGCCCTCGAAAATATTGAAGAAGGAATAAAAATCATTCTCAATGGAGAATGTTAATATTTCACAAGAGACCAGGCGTAATCCATTTCCAATAGATAATTATTACTTGACACATGAATGTTTTAAAGACTACTCTCAGTCATCTACATGGAGCTACAATTCTATTCATCCAGGGAAAAAGCCAAGTGGACCAACAGTTACAGATCTTAGACAATTACACTACAATTCGGAAAAGAAAAAGATATTTTATAAAATTAATTTTGATGATGATCTTCAAGCTTTGCCCATAAGACAAATAAAATAAGCCGAAATTTGTAACTACCCTCTTGCATAAGGAAAGATTAAAAATTTCATTCAAAAAGTGGACTCACAAGAACTGACATCTCTTTTGCCCACGGATTGCAGATGTTTTTACGATAAATTACTTCATTTTTCAAAGTAACACTGTATTAACAAATATACTTTTTTTATTTAATGAATAAACATTTACATTGATACAATATTGTAATTGATTTTTCCAAGCTAACAAAAATTTTAATCAATAATATCCCGTAACTGCATTTCAGTTTTTATATTTTTTTCAATTGATAAAACTTATCTGACATAAAAGTTGATCACAAATTAATTTAAACTAAAACCTATGTTTATTTCATTTAATAACTGTTTATAAATAATAACCAACAATAAATGTTGATTTCATGTAATGTTTTCAGTGTTTTAAAGGAAAAAAAATTTGTTTAAAATCCTTTATAAAAGGTATATAAAAATGCCTCAAACGGGCTATCACAAACACATTGCAAAACGTTTTCGGATTAAACAACCCATCATCACTGATGTTTAATCCGAAAATGTTTTGCAATGTGTTTGTGATAGCCCGTTTGAGGCATTTTTATATACCTTTTATAAAGGATTTTAAACAAAATTTTTTTATGATATCTGGTATACAGCCAGCTACAGGTACTTAGTTTCCTCATGGAATGTTTAAAGGGTTTTTTTTTTGTTTCCTATAAAATTTCACTTTTTGCATATACAGGGTATTAGCATTAAGCCATAGTTATATATTTTCTTACCTGCTAAACAATTGTCTAAAATGGTTCAGCTACACCAAATAAATTCCATAATAGTAAAAATAGTTTAATTATTAATATTACTGAACAAATTATTGAAAATATGGTAGTTTTAACTAGATAACTTTATAAATTCCAAAGGTAAATCAGTAATTAATTTAAACACATCTTTTAAAGATCATCCCGAATAAACAATAACACTTGTAAGCGTCTTTTGAAAGATTTTTGTAAAACACTGCCAACAGCTTGCTTCGAAATAGATTTATCAAACACACTATTCACAATATGTTATGAATTGTGCATTCAGTGTCCATATGCACACAAATGTGGTATTATTAGGAGTCTATAGCATAAAAAAAATAAATAATTGATACTTCAGGATATAAGTCGACAAATTATTTTTTTAATCGAGTTTCTAGTTTTTTTTGCAAGCCTAGATAACTCAGAAATCTGTTTGTCTTTATAGTAATTTACAATTTTGTTCAGCAACTCCTGTCTTAGGTCAATGAATTGTTTTAAAGTAATATTGGCTTGTGCTTTTTGAAGTTTTGCAAATGAACAGTTAGGTGCATGCTTTAGATGTTCCTTCCAAGGATTGTCTGCTTCTTCCCAACCGTCGAGATTTTTCCAACAGAAGAAACACTTTACAGCATCTGGTTCTTGTTTACTGCCAATAAAAATAAATCCAGCTTCTGCCATCTAAAAACAATAATAAAAACGTTTACCAGACAATCACTTTCAAAACAGAGAATACTTTCCAATAGGAACAAACTGAACGATCTCATAGGTAAAACTCAAGATATTATGATAATGTTGCTTGTATTTACTAGTTTAGATTAACACCACAACTTAAAATTTACTTATGACAAAACCCACATGAATCAAATCAGATCCCTATTGACAATATTGCAGATGATATTGTTCATAGTAAAGATGATCATGAAATCAAATATAAAAAACAAAAAGGTCTATTCATGCTTACTTTATCAACGCTGCAAGGCTTATTTTTATTGAAAACCCAACTTTTGTAAGTTTTTAGTCGATTTTCCTCATATAAATATGGAAAATATTCTTCAATATCCTGCAAAAAGTTTGTTAACATTTAAATATAACAATTTAAGTATTTAATTTATAATACCTACCTCTGTCAAACTCATTTTGTTGTAAAATATCAAAATTGAATTGATGTTGAACTTTCTATAAACTGTAAACAAAAACCGTTAGGATTTTGAATGTTTGTCAATTGTAAATGTCATATTATGGGTGGCACATTAGGCATGTTTTTGAGATAAATAGTCTGCAATGGAAGTTAAAAAATAGATAAATTTTATTCAAGTAAGTAGGAAAGCATATATCCTTAGGTTCTAAAACATCTAAAAAAAAATTTTAGCGTATAAAATTCGATGAAAAATCACTCAATTATATTTATTTTGTCAATTATCTACAAATTGACTTCATTCCCAGGCCGGAACATTAGACGCATTGACAATCATACTTCAAAGAGCGGTAATAATATAAATGTAAAATTTAATTAAATTAGAAAAAAGTATGGTTTTTTATCTTAAAAAAAATTGAGGTAAATCTTACCGTAAATCTAATATACTACCGAACTAGAGATAAAAAGGACAAGATTGGACCAATTAAAATTTTTTCATACATCAGTTCACATGGACAAGTAGTTTGACACTTGTAGCACAAAATAATAAACAAGTTATATTATACTTATTATTATTTATTCTGTGCTTGTAGTCAAAAAACACAGAGTAATATAAACCCCCATAGTTTTTTTGAGTAGTCATCATCATCATCATCATTAGCCATTTTGCGTCCACTGCTGAACATAGGCCTCCCGTAAATAATTCCATTGCATCCGATCTTGAGCAAATTGAATCCAGTTAGACTGGATGCGCTTTAAATCGTACGACCACCTTGTTGGAGGACGTCCTCGACTACGATAAGCATCGTGTCTAGGCCTCCACTCTAAAATTTTCTTTGTCCATCTTCCATCTCTGACCCTAGCAACATGTCCTGCCCAGTTCCATTTCAGGGTTGTAATTCTTTCAACTGCGTCCGTCACACCAGTTTTTCTCCTTACTATCTGACTCGAAACTCTGTCCCTGAGTCATACGCCCAACATTGACCTCTCCATCGCTCTCTGTGCCACTTGTATCTTATTAATTACTTTTCTGGTAAGTGTCAATGTTTCTGCTCCATATGTCAGAACTGGAAGTACACACTGATCAAAAACTTTTCTCTTCAAGCACATGGGAATAGCTGATTTAAAGACTTCCCTCAGTTTTCCGTAAGCTGCCCATGCCAGTCCTATTCTCCTTTTTAACTCTGTTGTTTGATTGTCTCTTCCCAATTTAATCTCGTGGCCCAGATACTTATAGGAATACACTTGTTCAATTTGCGTGCCATTAGTGGAAATGTTTTTTGCCAGTACCAGGTTGGTCATGTATTGTGTTTTGGAAGTATTGTGTTTTGAGTAGTATATATTTAAAAAATATATTTTAGTTGTTATAATTTAACATAACTATTTATTATATGGTGCAGATAAATAAATACTGATTGTCGGTAATTTGCAAAGTTCTATTTTATTTACTATTTAGTTTGTTTGCTATTAATATTGGCTATGAGTACGTGTGCTTGGTTGTATAGTAATTTCCAGCCACTTTTAGTCTGTCAAAAAGTAACAAACTTCGCAAAAAAAACTGCAAAAATAATTACTAAATTAACTAGACAGTTCCGACTGGGAATAGTGAACCGAGTATACTCGAACTCGATGACTTCATTCAACACCTTGAACACAAATGCACAGTATATACCACAAATAGTAGTGTAACTAAAATATGAAACGTGGGGAGAATGTCACTTGGGCCCAGCCGGCAATGGCGTTACTAGTTATGTTTGGTGGAGGTATGACGTATGACATAGCAAATGTTGGTGTAAGTGCTGTTGCCATGGTTTCAGTAGTTGTGCAAATTTACCCAAATAATGATTCTACTAAACAATGTTTTCCAAAAAAAACAAAGATTGTAGCAAATTCTAATAAAATCACTACTTACATTTTCAATATCTAATTTCTAAAGAATTTTGAGTATCCACCGAAAAAAAAATGTGTTAGTGCGTTAGTGGCAACATTGTAATCCACCTCTTTGCAAATTGCAAATGGTGTTATAAAAACATTGTATCCTAAATTTTAGAAACAGAAGATAAAAACAGTATACATAAATTTTTATATATCGAATAAACATTGCCAAAAGAGAAGGTACAATACCAAAATGGTATAGTATTCCAAATCGAAAAAATCAAAAAAATATTTTTGTGGATGGATGCAAGTTAAAGTTGGACGAAGGGCTATTAAACATTCTAAGGATAAGGACTAAAAGTTTATTTTTACACGCACCAGGTAAGACTTACTTATTATTCCTAAAAGCTGCCTTATTTTATAAAAAAAAACATACATTCTTAATTTTAATATTTGATTATTATAGATTTTCATGGACCTTCTACTTCTGACCAATAGTTCATACTAATTTGTGATGATCCTGAAGAGCAAGATCACAGAAATGCTCGAGTTTACATTTGTTATCTAAAGATGGTCCTTTAGGAAGAGTATTTTAGAAGGTATGGAACTTATAACAAACCAGTACCAAAAAATATAGACGCTTATATATTTACGCTATTATATACGCTCTTTGCCAGTATATTAATGAATATAGAACCATCTATAATATTTATCAATAGGAAGATCTTCAATAGGATGGTAAAATTAAATGAAGATTGGTGGAAAAATCAGGATCGCAGTAAATGGAGACAGCAAGTCTAACAATATTTAAAATTTCCCCACCCACACCCTGATAAGGACTTAAGGAATCAGGAGAAGAAGAGGAGGATATTTGTTGCCAATTCTTTACCAAAGAAAATTATACAAATAAACAAGTGTCAGAATATCTGTGTTTTATTTTGTTGTTTCGGGGACTTTGATTTGTTAATGTAATGGAAAACAGATGGAGTCATAAAATAATAAATAAAAACTTTTCTGTACCCTAATATCTACTCTCTCTGATATTATGGTATACATTTATATATAAAAATGTTTTATATTATATTTTTCGACAGAGAGAATATACTTTTTGGCATAGACTAAATTTTTATTTTTTGACTTCCATTAAAAGCATAATTTTTTAATTTTGCCCCCTAAAATACAGAATTTGCCTATTAAATTTTATGCCAAATGAAATATTAGTTTCGGCCCGTCCGCATTTGGCGCTAGAAACTCTCTACCAAATGTTTCCATTGGACTTACCTTACTATAGAGCTATGTACTGTGCACAAATGTTTACTAATCTTGGCTGTTTTATTACTCTTATTAGTCTTATTTTATTTGTTTTTAAGTTAAGGTGAAAAGTGAATCATCGTAATAATTCAACATCATGCGATTGTTATAATCGATTAGTGATATTAAATGTTATAATTACCATTACGTGGGTCATAAGGCGCTTGTTATAGATATCAAAGTATTCAATTTTACAATAGTTCATAACAAATTCCTGATATGGCTGAGCTGGATTATCAAACGGCATTACTTTTACAAAACAAATTCGAACAAGAAAAACGGGACTCGCAGTTAGCCAAAGAGCTACAAAAGCAGTTTGAGAAAGAAAATGTTCCCAACAATCGAGACCAAATTCGCAGATCAAGTTTATCAGACTCTTTAATTGCTCAATCACTGCACGAACAATTTCAAACTGAAATGGAAGTAGAAAGACCTCAACAAAACTTAGTATATGATTCACCAAATGGCAGGAATTCTAGACAAACAGGTAAATCACTGACTGATCCTTCCTGGGAGGTAATTGATCCTACTCCAGATATTCATATGTTGTTCATTGCATTCAACGAAAGATTTTTTTGGAATCAATTGGGGTCTGTGACTGTGAGTTGGAGTAAGAGAATGACCACTTGTGCTGGAATTTGTTCATATCAAGGTAAGTGTCATCACTTTTGATGTGCTCTAATATTTCTTTCTCTAAATATCTTTACTCAAACAGATAAAAATACAATATCAGAACATACCACATATTTATTTTTCCATTTTCTTTTTCTTCATGGTTTCTTAGTTTTTATATCTCTGGTTTTTGTATCTATTCTATTTGAGTTTTTGCTTCCTTTTGTTACAGTTATTATATTTTGTTTTTTTTTTTAATTAATATGAATATATTATGAACAAATCATATCAATCAAATCAATATCATTTTTTAATCTCTAGGCAGAGGCGGTTTGTGTACTATAACCCTTAGTGAACCTCTTTTAAAACTCCGACCTAGAAAAGACTTAGTAGAGACCCTTTTACATGAGATGATCCATGCCTATTTATTCGTAACTGACAATAATAGGGATAGAGATGGACATGGACCTGAGTTTCACAGACACATGTATAGAATTAACAGCGAGGCTGGTAAGTGCCTTTTTCTAGAATTTATATCCAAGCTATACTCTGTTTGGAAATTATTGAAGGCACAAAAAAAGTTAGCCTATATTTTTTCTGCCTTGAATGCCCTCTATAAAAACTGTTCTAATCTTGTGCCATAACTGTTGCTATCATGAATTTCCAAATCGAGTATAAATATATTTAAACAGTATGAGTCACCATTCATATGACAATGTTATAACTAAACTCAGAATTTATAAAGTTTCGTCTATTCTAATCACAAATTTATTTATTCACTTTAACGGAAGAACCATTTACAATAAAATACAACAAATCGTAAAAAGTAAAGATCATGTACAATAAACATCAAAAGAATACCAAAGAAACAAGTAAACAGTTAAAATTTGTACATTAACACGTTAAGCGCTTTGTGTATAAAATATATGTGTGTTTAGATTTTATTCACAAGGCATAGCTGTATTGTAGGTCGCATGCATGCGATTTCTGCACAGTCAACGTAGGTATCTTATGGGATATGTATTGGTGCGGCGCTACATTACATCATATCAACTTGGCACATAAATTGGTTTTGTCAATAATTTTTTTTTACAGTTTTGTTGGGAAGTTTTTATTACAGTAAAAAATTATTAAATTATCTATATGTTTGTACTGATAATTTGTTTATTGTGTACAAATTACAAATTAGGTAAAAGTAGTTCAAAATAAAACAAATTTACACATTCTAAAAACAAAAAAAATATATAAAAAACATTTCAGTAGATACTGACATCAAATAAAAATTCGTAAATAAAAAAATATTAGATATATCAATTATTTTGGTTTACACACATGAGAATTGAAAAAGCAGTCTTTACAAATAGGAGGTTTGTCCAGACATGCTGGACAGATATATATCACTTGTTTGCTGTGAGCAGCTGCATATGTTCTGTTATGTTGTCCTGCTAAATGAGTGTAACATATTTTACACCGCTTCCGTTTTTCTGTCGCCTTCAGTTCATGTTTTTCTAGACTATTATTGTCTGTAGTTGCAGAAATATTGTCGACACCTAGTAACTGCAAACACAAATTTTCTTTAAATGTTGTAATTGACATACAGCTATCACGTACTGAATTATGTAAAATCCAGGCATTAACTACAGTAGTACCTATTAAGGCCTCAACTGCAATTTTTCCGAACCATTTAATTGTTTTATGTAAAGCAGTAGAGTAGGATGACATCTGGTCCGACACGTCAATAAATGATTTGGCAGAATTGTAAGAACAAATAGCAGTAGGTATATTTCGGACACCTCCTTCTCTTGCACTAACCTCCGTTATTTTATCTCCGTGTTTAGTACTTATAAATAAAATGTCTCTTTTGTCCTTCCACTTAGCTACAACTATACCATCCTTCTCTTCTCCATAAATTTCACCCCTTTTAAGTTTTTTTTGGACAACTGCCACTGGATTTTCCTTGCGGTTACTTGTAATGTGCCGACCAAATGTGTTCTATTTACAATTAGTTCTTTAGTTAATCCGACGCTATTATACCAATTATCAGCGAACAGTGTACGGCCATCTCCCAGAAGTCCATCCATAAGTTCAAGAACTATTGTATTGGCTAAGGGTATACCTATACAATTGATGGATTCGACCGTTACTTGATGGAAATTCATTTTATATAACAATAAAACACTGAAAACTTTGTTTTCAAACTTCCACAAAATTTATTTTAAATATTATCACTACAGCTGTTTCGGCTGATTGCCTTTCTCAAGTGATCTATTTTGGCTTGGGTTTACAAATTTATAGTCTCTAATGAAATAGGTTGAGGAGGGGAGAACTGTTTGTCTCAAGTTGGTCATTCAGAATTATATCTGTGTTTTTTAATTTGTTGATTTCCATAGATTCTAACAAAGATAGCTTAAGGCCTTTATTTTGAATGTGAAGAATTTTAAATTTGTCATTAAAAGAATGATTATGATCTAGAAGGTGAAGTGCGTATGTCGAATCTGTTTTTCTATTCTTGAAAGCCCTTTTATGTTCTGCTATTCGTTTATCAAAGTTTCTACCAGTTTGGTAGAAACTGGTAGAAACAAACTGATTCTAGACTAGATTCATATGCATATGAAAAGTTAACAGTAAATAGAAAGTAATACGTAATACAAAAAGTCAAATAGTTAAACAACTTATCTTTACAGCACTATAAGTCCATAGGAAAAACTCCTCTTGGCACGGCTACATCAGTTTATGGCTGTAAAGACGAATCCTGGTCACAAAAGCCACAACCAGTTACTGGTCTCTGGGTGACAGCAAAATCCACGGTTTGCTAACTATTCAAGAAATTTAGTTACTTGAGTCCTTGAGGGAATATTCTGAAGAGAATATCCTCAAGTGAAGTGACGGAATATGGAGCTGCAGCACGCCAAAAAAATCTCTTCCTTTTTATATGGAACTCTTAAATGAATATTGATTTTATTATACAAATTACTTATTTATATTATTATTAATGAATTATATTCTTCCCCAAATTATTTTTCTGCTCCAATTCCGTCACTTTGAAGGTGAACAATTTCACCGGTTGACGTGGCTGCGTATGAGTTCTGACCAAAACTCATCGTTCGGCTTCCGCATAAAATCGATCTCCTTTCAAAGCGATAACAGCGCGTGGGTGAAGGAATGTCGATTTAAAAATCGATCGTAGGCGGGTAATAAAAATTTCTTGAGGGGTTTATCAGTAGCGTAAACGCTACAAATTGTTAACACGAACTTGCTGTGTATGTCCCTTCAGAAAACTTTTAATCCAATTAACAATGGGGTCACTAAAGCCAGATGTATGAAGTTTGTGAACCAAAAGATTATGATTAACCTGGCTAAAGACCTTTGAGAAATCAGTGTAAACGCTGATAATCAGTGTAAACGCAATAATAATGTTTCTGAAAGCCCAGGTGAGATTTATCGATACCAATTTATCAAGAAGTTTCGAGATTGCTGATTGAATAGTTATTACTGGTTATTACTAGTTAGTTATTATTAGTTATTACCTCTATAATTGTTAACACACTCGCGATTTCCAGATTTATAGATAGGTGTAACAAAACTATTTTTCCAATATCATGATGACAATGATAAATTGAAAATTTGTTGTAAAGGTTTACAAAGGGAAAAAATACAGTTCTTAATAAGTGCTGCAGGTATACCATCAGTCCCTGAAGAATATGTAGTTTTTAAACTCCTTAAACTCCCTCGAAAACATTAGTCAGACTAAACTTCAGAAAATTCATCATATGAGTTGCCTGATGCTTTAAAATTCCTGTGAGCTATTTTTTCCTGTATGGCAAGCTCAATTAATTCTCGCAAACTGGAAAGTTTAATGATTTAAACTGTTTGATAGGAACAAACATAATGATGGATCATATAAAATATGGTAAAAATTTTTTAAGCAGCAATTTATATCTGATTCAGCTAATACCTTGTTCCAAGGAATTGAGGCTAAATATTCATTTAAAGCTTGATAATTACATTTTTTAAAATCATGATAGAAGTCATCATATTTAAGAAAGAAATTTAAATTGGCTGCCTGTAACAATATAGTATAAGCTGAATGATGTTGCGAAGTATTCAATAAAATATCAGTTGAAATCGATGCAACTGCATCCCTCTGAGTACATAAAACGAGATCTAAAGTTTATTATTAAGGTTAGGCAAAGCATTCATTTTTGACATATTTTGAAAATTGTAGCAAGTACAAATAATATTTGTACTTGCTACACTGAATCTCTGTGCTTCAACATACAGGTGGAATGCTAATCATATACTGACCCAGATGACCGTGGAGGAAAGTACACTGCACCAATGACTAACTTTTTTGTGCCACACATTACCTGTGTAAAAACATGTTCCACAGAGGAATCTATAGGCCTAACCAACATTGAGTTAATAACCAACATTGAATATAAGGTGGTATTGAATGATGAAGACAAATTAAATGAACTATATTACATGTATTACACATGATTACATTGTTAATTACATGATTTAAAGAACAAATTCATAATTCCAACATTTTGACCTTTTAATTTTATGAAAATTACATCAATGGTGACTCAAACTGTATATATACGTAATTTGTAGTTCTTCTTCTTCAAGTTCCACTCCTATCGGAGATTGGAAATCATTCTGGCAATTATGGCAATTAGAATATCTCTAAAGAATATCTTAGACTAATCTGTGTGCTTATTCCTAACATTAGATCACTCTAGAATAGACTCAATTATAATTTGGCTATTGCTTTTCCACTATTGCAGGTCATATTTTGCACATATGCATTTTACACAAGGTTTTACCCAGCAAATTGATAAATGTCACTAAATTGTACCTATTAGCAACCGTTAGCACTGAAGTTTTTAGATAATAGATTTAAAAAATAGGATTATATGATCTAAGATATATTATTAACATCAATTTTTAAAAATATTTTTTATACTCAGTTCTTAGAGTTACAACCTATAAAGAAAGTTCTTCCTCTATCGAGTCTTGGTGTCTGACCTCTGTTATCAGTTGTACTCTGTTTATATAGAGATCAATTTATAAGCCAGTAAAACCATATTAACATTACACAACACTGGCACTGAAACATGTTGCAAAGTTAGCTTCTTTTTTACTGTATCGCAAACATGAAGTTTATTGTGTGTTATAAAGTGCTTTTTTCTGGGTACAACCTTTATTTGATCAACAGTGAGTAACTAACAAAAGTCAGGTAAGTTACATACTTCCATTATTAACATTTGTGGTTTGGGTTGGATACTTTAAACAATTTATGTATGGTGCAACGAAACAAATCTTTTATTATACACTTATAGTACATTTGAAAATTTTTTTTTTTTTTTTTTTTATTATAACTAATAAATTAACAATCAGAATAAAACAATATATTCTATAAGTTAATGTGATGAGTTTAAGTCCTGTCCCTTGGTTCTGGCGTGATGTGGTCCCCTCCAGTGAGAGAATCACGGGTCCATGTTACT